AAATACATTATTTATAATCAGTGATTTGGCGATACTTCCACCAGAGATACACTCTTTCTGAATAATTTAATTCAATTTACCAAACACCGAGTATCGCACAAAACGAATATACTACTTGAGAACGAAATCGTGCTCTGGAAACAAATGAGAATTTATCGTTGCACATGTTTTCCTAACGACCGATTTATATGTCTTATACAACTAGGCAATTTATCATGTACAAATCCATACCTGAAGGATCACATAGATACATATCTTGACTGATTCTATAATGTCAAATTTATCAAACAAGTGTTGAACTGGTGATGTCATATTTAAGACTCCCGATGTCATACAATTTATCGACACAATGGTACAATTTCTTTACGTACCTGACCACGTGATAGTAATCGTAGTTTACTGGTACCTCTTTTATTTGCTTGCTTTTCCATAATGGCGCTCATCCCGACAACTGTTGATTGGGGTTTCCCGAAGTTTCATTTTTGTCAGGATTACTCAAAATGAATTCCTATAATACAATACATAATTTGTCCCTGCATTTATCAAGCGATTGTATATATAACCTTAGTTGTACGACTTTGGGAAAAAGAAAACACGCATTGTCAGCATTGTCGCAGCTGTATGGCGAGCGTGAGCCATTGGTAAACGTCAGCCTAAATTACCAATGCCCCGTATACATATATATTTCTAGTTAACACGGGGCCCTGAAAAAGTTTACTGTTGTTTACGATGTAAATACAATTATTAATTAAAACAATTTTATAAGCATTTGATTCTGTAAATAGGCGATACTGCCAAGGCGAGAGGTGTAGAATGACTATTAATATTTAAATATAATAATAATATATTTTCTCCTTGTGGTTATACATAGCCACTATCGGAGATCGTGTAATCACAAGTATCCGTAACCAAACTATCATACATATTTGATAACGTGTCACTGATGTTTGTCGGCTCCACGTGGAAGCCTCGGGGTGTCTTGCGACAAACACATTAACAGGTGATTGAACTCTAGAAATATAATCAAAAGTATGACTCAAAGCTATCACCAATAAATAAATAAATAAAAATAAACATTCTTCTACCTCGCAATGCGGTCACGGTAGTCTGATTACATATTTGATTAAAGCGACCATCTCGTCGTAACTATCCGTGCGTGCAGGCGATCTGACAACATGAATGGTTTTAGAGAGCTGCAAAAAGGAAAAACTAGTATGCTTTTAGATGTAAGTTAGTCAATGCAATCAAATAACAAAACCAAATCACTTGTCAGGCTTGGTCGCAGTTTGTTGTGTTTTGTGACGATAAAATACTGGTAGTACGATTCTGGACCATATGTACCACTGTACAGGTACATACCAGTTGAGTCGAAACATATATAGAAGGCAGAATTTGATTGATGTATCATAAATCAGGCACACTCTTGTAAGTAGCTTTGTATGACTCACGCTGTCTGTGTCATTACCAACCTGAGAACATAATATCTAGAACAATAATGGGACAAAAGAATGTGCACATTGTGACAATGTTCGCTTATATCCATAAAAACGTGTTTTAGTGATATCTTCGCAGAATGACAGATTGATTGGTAACAGATTGACGCATGGTTATTATCTTTCACTACAAAAAAGTTGACCACGTAAAAATAAAAGTCTACTACGCACGTGCTTGGATTCACTTATAACATAGCGTTACTTTGAGGCGTTACGTAGTTGTCACGCAATGCACGTTCAATTTCACGTTAATAAACAAAGCATTTTACACGCGCTGTATGCGTCGCGCCTAAACCCTCTCGAAAACGACGCGGGGAGATATAGTTATCAAATTCGTGTTCGATTGGGTCAGATTGGACTAAAATATGAGCTACAACTAAATCAATTGCCGCATTGACTACTCCATTAAACCACGTGTTTGGTGGTATGCCTAGGCGTACATTCAACTAAAAAGAACTAAACTAAAAATATTGCTTTGGTACTCATTTCAGTGTTGTTGTTTTTTTCTTAGTAATTGGGAAAAGCGTTTCTTCTAGTCACGAGAATGACGAAATTGACGATGCAGCCATATCATTGTGAGTAATGAAAGACGTATCAAATAAGTGCGTCACAGACACTTAACCTCGAAGGTGTTCTTGGCCCAAACGTATTGCAGTGAGGAGGACTGTTTACAAAAAAGATATTTTAATTTTGAATTATTTATGAAGTATTTACGTAGGACGTACTGATTAAGAATTTTTACATGCTATGCTTGATCAAATGTTTGAACATTGACTGTTAATTAAGGGATACACAATGTCATATTTATAACAAACGAACATAGAGTCTTCTTAATTGGCATTTATCTTAATCTAAATTAATAGACAAACGAAAGATTCATTAATAGTAAAGAAATATTGATTATACATTACCACATGGAAATTCAACATATCGACAAAGTCTTAATGCTGTATTTATCTATAATTGAATTTGATCACTCGATATGTCGCATGTATGTGAATATATTGAATATGTTAACGTAGCTTTAGTGATTATATCGAATACGTTAACGTAGTTGTAATTAATTTGGCTGATTGAAGCAGACATAAATGTAAGTGCGTCAAACATTAGTAAAAACTGTCAATAACTAATTCACGATCTCACGATTTAATAGTTTCTGTTTTTATTTTCAGGTTGCGGACGATATTAGGATTCCGACACGACTCGTACCCTTATGTAACTACGCCGAACAACGAATACTGATCACGATTTTTCTACAAGGCACACGTTTGATCAACATAATCTCGCTTCTCACTTTAATTCAATGACGTGTATTGATCAATATATATTCAGTTTACGACTACGCTAATATTCAGCGTACCATATTTTTAGCATAAATCACGTAATATATGACACATGACCTTATCTAATGGTTTGAATACAAATACAATGTGTGGTATCTGTCTGGTAAAAATTAAGTTTTGCCGACTGACTGTCACAACAACAGATTTTCAATTTAACGTGGTAAAAAGAGTAAAATTTAATAATTTTAACTTTACAATTCACGTTGCAATTTAATTAACTAGCTCATAGAAACACCCGTAATATATGTTACAGCTGAACGCAATCCCAAATAATCGATTCAAAGTCTAAATGCTTAATTCCCCTTGGGTCTTCGTAAATATATTCGAACAAAATGTGTCTGTGTCAGACATATTGGGGGATTTTAGTTAGTTTCATATCAAAGACCTTATTGAAATTGGCCACATCGGAGTTAAGGCTTTCGTTATTTCCAAGAACAAGTATATTCTATTTGGCATATGTTCCTCGTGAAGTGACCAGACGTTTTTGCACAGTCAAATGACATATTTGTCGAATTGCATTCATGTTTTCCTCGTGTAATTGCGGAATTATAAACAAACTCCGAATTCAATATTATACATTGCTAGAAAAGGTGGCCTCTTTTTCAAATTACAGAACGATGTAGTATCGTTAGGTGTCAACCAATTATGCCATACCTATCGACTGACACTTCAACCTGTGACCCGAAAGGGCATGGGATAACAAAACAAACGGAGAGAAACACGCTTGCCATGGACGGGATTGATTATAACATACACTTCAAAGACGGACGCGATTTTTTCATATATGTCACTCATAGATTAAATTGTACCTGCTATTGTATAAAATCACATTTTTTTACTTTAAAAATCGTCTATTTTGTATAAACCGTGAATACTTTTTTGAGCGAGAATGAAAATTAATTAACTAAGTGTATGCGCGTATAATAGTAATTGTATTTCCTTACACGTGCATCGAGACTGTATCCACAAGACTGGATTACGCAATTACAAATTGTCCAAATTGCCTGAGATCAAACCAACATTTTCTCTAAGCGTAAGTGACGTCGTGACTGAACTTATGTTAAGCAAGGTAACCCAATGTATCGGCTTCGTTGCTTAAAATACACTAGATAAACAAAACAAAAATAAAATGATAAGTCGAGGAATACCAACCCTTCGCTCATATGAGACATAATGGTATGTTTCTGATAGGAGATTGAACTCCTTCTCAAGACCCTTTCCAACGCCCTCACGATCATTACCGTGAAATTGCTCATCGATTCCAAATGATAAATTGATCTACTGGCTAATTATGCTTCATTGATCGATCTCACCTCGGAGAGTAGATATATCGACCTAGGTTCGTTCGGTGGGATTTTGGATGCACATATTTATACTTACATAATTTGCATAATAATTAGCAAATTGTCAGGTGGTTGCAGATTTCTAGGTTGCATCTCAAGAACGATTATAGTTTGTATTCACTGGAAAGTGGCACACTCAATTTGCTATATGGTTAGGGGTTTGTTTTGCATTTCTTTGTTTGATACGTCTGTATTTTAAGAACCAATTTTCTTTACTAGATTTGTATTATTATGTTAGAAGTGTTAAAAATATTATATATTATCAATTTCAGTGGCCTTATTGATTCTACATAAACTGACTTTATTTAATATTTGTTTTAGCAATATATTCTAAACGATTGATGTAACGTGTATTCTATACCAAGTTTGGTACGGGTATATATTCAGTAACCTGAGAACGTAAATACAAATAAGGATGTGCTATGTATCATTGTGTTTCATCTTATTTAATAACACAATTTGCAGTTTTAATTACTACTGTGTTTTCCATTATTCCTAAACCATTATCTTATATACGCAACCCAATAATTGACGTTTCTTGGAGATGGCTTTTAACAAATCATTGAAATCATTTTGAAAATACCATTTTACTATTTCAAATACCTCGTTTCACTAATGTTGAAAACATCCAGCAAATGATAGCTCTTCTGATTTTTAGAATGAGTGATGAAGACATGTGACCGTTTCTAATTGTGTAATTCTATTATGTATTTTTGTAATAGTGACCTTTCCTCCAGGTTGCGCCCTCTAGCGACTTATCCTATATGCCGCAAATTCTACTTAGTAGTCACTTTCTCCCATCCACGTCATCTTAACGTCACGAACGCGCTCCTTTGCTAGAGGGCGCAATATTATACATTATCTTCAACAATATTGATGGTGTATGTGAATTAAAGTAAATAATTACAAATTTGCACACGTGTTTACGTTTGTCATTTGTTCTTTAATATTTATATGGTATATATCAATAGACATTGTAAATTAATGTTAAGAATAAAAAAATACATTTTCATGACAGAAAAGTTTAAGACTCTTAATATATTGTTAACAATCTTAACAGTGATTACAATAACATTAATCTTACAAGGGAGTTAAGTTAGTTTGTACAGAAGTAAAACTTGTATGTTATGTTTTCATACTATCATCATTATAAGCTCGATTCATTTTTGTTCTAATAACAAGTGCCCGACATTCAATACATTCAAAATTAAGCATAACAGTGACAACACTAGGAATTTAAGACTTCACCATGCAAATAACCCATATCTGCATTCTGTCTCTCTCATTCATATATATCATAAGCAAATATCAATATTCCTATTGTAATATTGTAGTGAATTTGCTTTGGTTTACTTACAAAAATAATGTATACGTTTTAGACAATCGAATCGAATTATAGTATGTCTGCAGTACTCTTAGTGCATTATGGGTACGTTTTACCATACAGTTTCTATTCAGAGAGTATGCGACTGTAATAAAACTGCTTGTATACGAGGTATCGGTAAGGGCAATTATTGGCAACTGTGTGTATTGCAGACAGTCCTAATGTCGGTATTTGTGGTGTTTCAGTCTTGACGTGCATTGAATATGTCTCCTGGCCTCAGGGTTGATATTTTAGTGTATTTTCCAACGACGAGTGTCTTCAACAAAGTTTCCGATGTGAACAGAATTGCTTTCTACCTGACTCTACTTTACAGAAGCGCTTCGCCGATACAAAAATTGCATGAACTATTGAAAAGATAGAGCATTTCACGTTGATGCTTACTCAGTCAATTGAAGTGAAGTTAAATTACTTTTTTTAGAAGATGCGTATGCCTTTTATATCTTGCATTTCTTTTTCACTTTTCAAAAGTTTGTATCCAAGTCGCTCAATGACGTCACCGCATACTCTTTGGACTGCCAATATATCCTTAAAATTAGCGGTTTTTCTCCATGCGTGAACGACCTGTGTCGAATTACGGCGAGTTTCCATGTTATTGTCTCCAGCGCCCTCTATCGGGTGCGTATAAGTATTGATCATTTCCTTCACATTCTCGGGCTGTTCAATGTTCAAAAATGTGTACATTTCGTTCACTATTCTCCTTGTCTCCATGGCAATGTCTTCGTGGCGTATGATCATTAGTCTACCTTTGATCCAATCGGGAGGGTTGGACATTATATTTAAATTTTCCTCCAACCAACCACAGTCGTAATTGATATTATCACGATGTAGGTCATCCACTTCCGAATCTGGCGCCCCTACTAGTTTTAAATCAATCAAACTTTCGTTTCTTAATTTCGGGCGAAATTTCATCGCCCTTCGTGATAAGGCAACTGGGCGTGGGTCGCGCACTAGATAGATCACTTTCAGGTCATGCCCATCTTCGGTTGCCATAGTTTTCAACTGATGAAAACTAGTTAATCGAGTCACTTTCAGGGCGATGTTTTGATAAGTCTCACACAGTTGAGAGAAATCCTCGGGATCTCGCATATCACAGTTGTGAACGCCACCACAAAACAGTCGTAATACTCGACTATGGTAGACTGCCACCGGCCACTTCTGTATACTCTGGTGAACGAAATAGGTCGGGAACTGACAATTCAAAATATTACGTAATAAATCCACGGCACCAAAGTCTATATACTTCTTCGGTATTATTTCCTTGTCGGCCATCAGGTGTACCGATCGAATAGGTTCAAAAATATACAGTATCCCCACATGTCCATTCAGAAATTGACCAAGGAAGGTTGAACCATAACGGGCTTTGCTCACAATAATTATCTTCACTCCTCGCTGCGAAGGTGGGGTTGGCGACCTTGTCGACGTCGGCTGCTGCTCTTCTCGCATTGGAAATTCATTGTACCCTTTATCAATACGCTGATCTACCATATTCGGTTCCGAATTATGATCCTGGATGTTTGCTACTTGTTCAGTTTCACGCTTAGTATTCTGGGAGTTAGGTTCCCCACACGAACATGAACTTGGACTCCACGATTCGAACAAGCTAAGATTGGTGATGATATAAACGGAAGAGATAACACTCACCAGTTTCACGTACCGTGAACCCTTCATCCCTGACACGAGTAACGATGGTAACACGCTGCTGGCACTGGCACCAGGTTGCAATCTAATTAACATAACTATGTTGGTGAATAAAAGCCCTCGATACAAAAATAATATTTGCTTTATTGAAAACATGTGAATTATTATGCTGGCATTACCAGACACGACTGTTATTGCAATGGCTAAATATCGAAAACAAATAAGAACTTATGACGCATGCGACGCAATACAAAAGAGTATGTGACTTTCGTAATTTTACGCCATCAAAGGCTTTTAACTGTCATGCGCGTATATGCTGACGACAGTCCTTTACGACGATGTGAACAGTGGGGGCGTACTTCGATGGCTAAGCCACGTACATTTAAAGGCATTTATTGGCATTGGCATATTTGTTATTGAAAGGTTAAAAATTGTGAGGCTGTTCTTGGCAACTATTAATTGGTTTTATCGAATTGTTATGTTGCATATTTCGTTAAGTGTCTATTAATAACCTGTGATATAACCAACACAAATTTTATCGGCTTCGATTCGAAAGATGTTATTAAAATGGAAATGAATTATGTTGTCTAGTGGTATATGCGAGTGCTCCACGCATTCATGAACATTTAGTTGCCGTATACCAATTGATGTAACATCGTCGTCAAAATATATGCCACTCTAAAAAATATAGGAAATTGTATGTCTTTTAATGTTCACAACAAAAGCCTACACGTCAGAAAAATGGTTTGATTTTACTAAATGTCTTAATTCGCTGGTTTTTACTTACTGTATGCTTCTAAATAAACGGAATGTTGACTTCACGTAAGTTATTGTTTTTTGTCGACCATAGCGAGTTGAGATTCGATGTCATAGTAACCATTGTTTTAAACTAGGGCAACCCTTTGATTAAAGTGTAGATTAAGGCGGCTAAAATTATGGCTTGCAACACATTTTGACGAACATACATACGAATTCAACAAAATAATATACGACATCCGGGCATTTCTGTGACGTTAGGTTCATTTGAAAGTTACAGTGGTACACTTAAAACACGCTGTGTCTTAGTTTTATATCAGTGTTTCCCGCTAACCAGGATTAATTTGAACTTTGTTCGGCTCCTTGCGCATCTGAGCAAAGTTATTTTGGCAGGGTAAATCCCGCGTTGAATAATATTAACTAATTTCGGTTCGGTAGTTTCGGTTCGATCTCCGATGATGACTTTTCTCGGACATAAATATCTCGGTCGCCGCCATCGGCCTATTTGAAAATAACATTTCGTAATTCTTTTTAATCTATAACAAATGCCGATACGATGCACTGTATGGCTGAAATGTGGCCCTTTGTGGCTGTAATCACCGAGTTGGTTCAGTAAAAGTTCGGGTAAATACTATTAATATCGCGTTCATTCCAGGTCCTTATTGTCTTACGTACGTATTGCCTGGAATGAAACGCGTTGCTAACAGAGACTCAGAGAACAATGGCATTTTATTAATGACGAACTTTGAATGTTCTGCAGTTTTGGGATCTAAAATTTACGCGTCAATTCCCGCGGTCCAACATTGACCTGTCGCGAACGGGGACGATAGATTTTATCAAGATTTATATTTATATTTCTTAATGCCAGACGTTACGCACCCAGTCGACCATAGCCAACGTAGTTACAACTGGCGCTCCATAAACAAACTTGAAGCCTATTTCGTCACAGTTTACATACAATGTTTTGCTTTCGTTTTCGGGTTAACCGGTAGAGGGCGTTCTAATAAGCCAAAATGGCAGCGAACTTATCTGGTTGGGCTTGATATATTAAAATGATATAGCTCCAATATGTGTTATTTGTTTAATGATTATTTTAATAAGTGTTCATGACTGCTGCTACACACCCATCAACATTGATCATGTTGACTTTTCGCGTTAACAAAATATATATGCAAATTTGGGTAGCAACCTCCTGACTGGAGGGAATGAAGAAACCTCGGCACTTGCACACTCTATGTATAGTTGTTACTCACGCGTTCGCCACAAAACGGTGTTATTGCCACGCCTGTTGTAGTGTATATGTTTATGATCCGAGAGTATACATGCTTATGTAACAATATTTGATAGATAACTGACATTTTGTTAGGCATGCGCAGTTCGATCATGCTTGGGTGACTGGGTAAACGTAGTACCGTTGTTTATTGATTCAGGTGTACAG